CCTGCCTGTACCAAATGTGTCTCCTGCTTAGAAATCATTCCAGTGGCAGGGGAGAGCGTGGCCAGACAGCATCGGATGGTTGTGTGTAGAATGACTGTTGTTGTGAAGAAGAGAAAAAGAGTAAAATCAGAGAAGAAGACCAAATGGTGGAAGATGAAGGAAGAATGTTGTGAGAAATTCAGAGAGGAGCTGTTAAAGGCTATGGGTAGTAAGAAAGAGCTTCCAAATGACTGGGCTACTACAGCAACAGTAATTAGACAGACAGGTAGGAAGGTACTTGGTGTGTCATCTGGACAGAGAATGGATGATAAGGAAACCTGGTGGTAGGATAGTGAAGTGCAGGATGCCGTTCAAAGAAAGAGATTAGCCAAGAAGAAATATGACAGTGGGAGGACTGAAGAGAGGAGACAGGAATATAAGGAGATGGGACATAGAGCAAAGAGAGAAGTAGCTAAGGCAAAAGCAGAGGGCGTACAATGAGTTGTATGGGAGACTGGACACTAAAGAAGGTGAGAAAGACTTGTACCGATTGAAGAAACAGAGGGATCAGGCTGGAAAGGATGTGCAGCAGGTTAGGCTTATTAAAGATAGGAATGGTAATGTTCTATCAAGTGAGGAGAGTGTGACGGGAAAATGGAAGGAGTACTTTCAAGAGCTAATGAATGAAGAGAATGAAAGAGAAAGAAGACTAGAGGTCATAGAAACTGTGGACCAGGAAGTGGGGAAGATTAGTGAGGGTGAAGTCCAGAAAGCTCTGAAAAGAATGAAGAAGAGGATGGCAGTAGGACCTGATGACATACCAGTGGAGGTTTGGAAATGTCTTGGGGAGATGGCAGTGAGGTTTTTGACTCAAATATTCAATGGCATATTATTCAATGGCATATTTGAGGGTGAGAAAATGCCTCAGGAATGGAGAAGAAGTGTGCTGGTGCCCAATTTTAAGAACAAGTGTGGTGTACAGAGTTGTAGCATCTACAGGGGAATTAAGTTGATGAGCCACACGATGAAGATCTGGGAGAGAGTTGTGGAAGCAAGAATTAGACGAGAGGTGACCATCTGTGAGCAGCAGTATGGTTTCATGCCTAGAAATAGCACCACAGATTCCATCTTTGTTTTGAGGATGCTGATGGATAAGTACAGAGAGGGTCAAAAAGAAATCCATTGTGTCTTTGTGGATTTAGAAAAAGCATATGACAGAGTGCCGAGGGAGGAGGTGTGGTATTACATGAGGAAATTTGGAGTGCCAGAAAAGTATGTTAGACTGGTACAGAACATGTATGAGGACAGCAGGACAATGGTGAGATGTGCTGTAGGAGTGACAGATAGCTTAAGGTGGAGGTGCGATTGCATCAAGGATTGGCTCTGAGCCCCTTCTTGTTTGCTCTGGTGATAGACTGACTAACAGATGAGGTCAGGCAAGAATCCCCATGGATGATAATGTTTGCAGATGACATTGTGATCTGCGGTGAGAACAGGGAACAGGTGGATAGAGAACTTGGAGACATGGAGGTATGCACTTGAAAGAAGAGGAATGAAAGTCAGCCATAGTAAGACAGAGTAAATGTGTGTAAATGAGAGGGAGGCTGGTGGAACAGTGAGGCTACAAGGAGCAGAGGTCACAAAGGTGCAGGACTTCAAGTACTTGGGGTCCACTGTCCAGGAAAATGAGTAATGTGGTAAAGAAGTGAAAAAGAGAGTACAGGCACGATGGAGTGGATGGAGAAAAGTTTCAAGAGTGATTTGTGACAAAAGGGTGTCAGCAAAGGTCAAAGGAAAAGTTTACAAAACAGTGGTGAGACCAGCTATATTGTATGGTCTGGAGACAGTGGCATTGACACAAAGACAGGAGAAAGAACTGGATGTGGCAGAAATGAAGATGCTAAGGTTCTCCTTAGGAGTGACAAGGTGAAGGCTGCACAGAAATCTGTTGGAATCAGTCTCCCCACCATCACAGACACCTACACCTCCAGATGCAGGAAGAGGGCCACCTGCATCATGAAGGACCCCACCCACCCAGCACACACACTTTTTGCCCCACTCCCCTCAGGAAGGAGGTTAAGGAGCATTAAGCGTAGAACCACTAGACTGAGGAACAGCTTCTACCCTGAGGCTGTTAGACTCATGAATCTCTAACTAGAATAATCACTGTGAAAAACCATATCATGTTGCTGCTGATCTGTTTCATGTTGCTGCTGATCTGTTTCAATGTTGATGTGTTCATGCGTGCACATCTGCTCACAGCCTCATGTTCATGTTTGTGCTGATGTTCAATGTTTTATGTTATGAGTGCTTAGTGTATATTTAGTTGATGTTTTTCTTAGTTCATATCTTAGATGTTATTACTGTTTTTCTTAGACATTTTATTGTTGGATGTAACTGGGACCCCGTGTACATAATTTCGCTCCACCACATGTACCACATGAGGTGCGAATGACAATAAAGAAACTCTGACTCTGACTCTGACTCTGACAAGGCTGGATAAGATTAGGAATGAGATCATCAGAGGTACAGCACAGGTTGAACAACTGAGAGATAAAGTTAGGGAGGCCAGACTGAAATGGTTTGGACATGTCAAGAGGAGAGACCGTGGGTATACTGGTAGAAGGATGTTAGAAATGCAGCTGCCAGGAAAAAGACAAAGAGGAAGGCCAAAGAGGAGCTATATGGATGCAGTTAGAGAGGACATGAAGGTAGTTGGAGTGAGGACAGAGGATGCAGAGGATAGAGTGAGGTGGAGGAGGATGACTCGCTGTGGCAACCCCTGAAGAGGGAAAAGCCAAAAGAAGAGGAAGAAGAAGGTCTGCTGCCTTCATACATCTCCTCCTACATGTGTCTGCGTAAGTGCAGCTACAGCGTATGCTCTCTGAACATTATTGCCTGCAGTGTTCCCTCAGTGCGGACTGAACTTGGCAAAAGGGACTTCTACTCCGCTCCTGTTTCCTGGAATATCTTAAAAAAGACATGAAGCTCTCGACCTTGACCTCTTTAAGTGGCTTTAAAAATCTTTTGTTACTCTTTTTGCCATCTTATTTGTAAAAAAAATCTGTATTACTTTTTATAACTGTCTATTGTTGTCGCTGTTGTCCATTGTTGTCGTCATTCTTTGCTGAAACCAGGTCTCTCTTGTAAATGAGTCCTCGAGGCTCAATGGGATATACCTGTCTAAATAAAGGTTGAATGGAAAAAAAAGGGGGGGGGGGGGCATAGAGTGTGTTAAGCCTCCCTGGTAAGGTCTATTCAGGGGTTCTGGAGAGGAGGGTCCATCGGATAGTTGAACCTTGGATTCAGGAGGAGCAGTGTGATTTTCATCCTGGTGGTGAAACACTGGACCAGCTCTACACCTTCAGCAGGGTCATGGAGGGTGCATGGGTATTTGCCCAACCAGTCTAAATGTGCTTTGTGGACTTAGAGAAGGCGTTTGACCGCGTCCCTCGGGGAACCCTGTGGGGGGTACTCCGGGAATATGGGGTACCAGGCCCTTTGATACGGGCTGTTAGGTCCCTGTATGACCGGTGTCAGAGCCTGGTCCACATTGCTGGCAGTAAGTCAGGCTCATTCCCAGTGAGAGTTGGACTCTGTCAAGGTTGCCCTTTGTCACCGATTCTGTTCATAACTTTTATGGACAGAATTTCTAGGCACAGCCAAAGTGTTGAAAGGATCCATTTTGATGGCCTTAGGATCGCTTCTCTGCTTTTTGCAGATGATGTGGTCCTATTGGCTTCATCAGATCGTGATCTACAGCTTTCACTTGAGCAGTTCGCAGCAGAGTGTGATGCAGCCGTGATGAGGATCAGTTCAGCCAAATTCGAGGTCATGGTCTTGATCCGGAAAAGGGTAGAGTACCCTCTCCGGGTTGGGGAGGAGGTCCTGCCCCAAGTGGAGGAGTTTAAGTTTCTTGGGGTCTTGTTCATGAATGAGGGAAAAATGGAACGTGAGCTCGATAGGCGAATAGGTGCAGCGTCTGCAGTGAAGCGGGCGCTGTACAGGTCTGTCGTGGTGAAGAGAGAGCTGAGTCAAAAGGCGAAGCTCTCAATTTACCGGTCGATCTACATTCCTATGCTCATCTATGGTCATAAGCTTTGGGTTGTGACTGAAAGAACGAGATCACGGATACATGCGGCCGAAATGAGTTTTCTCCGCAGGGTGTCTGGGCTCTCCCTTAGAGATAGGGTGAGAAGCTCGGTCATCTGGGAGGGACTCAGAGTAGAGCTGCTGCTTCTCCATATTGAGAGGAGCCAGTTGAGGTGGATCGGGCATCTGATTAGGATGCCTCCTGGACGCCTCCCTGGTGAGGTGTTCTGGGCACGTCCTACCAGGAGGAGACCCAGAGGAAGACCCAGGACACGCTGAAGGGACTATGTTTCTTGGCTGGCCTGGGACCACCTTGGGATTCCCCCGGAGGAGCTGGCCCAAGTGGCTGGGGAGAGGGAAGTCTGGGCCTCCCTACTTAGTCTGCTACCCCTGTGACCCGACCCCAGATAAGCATAAGAAAATAGATGGACGGATGGATGGATGTTAGTGACGTTTGAGACATTAGGGACATTAGAGCAACAAAAACCAGACTGTCAAAAGATCTCAAAATAGTAACCACCTATTCTGACAGGACCAACACACCTAAAAAGTAGGTCTACCACCACACAGGAGACTTCATGAAGACCAAGAAACTCTCCACACACAAAGATGTAAAGAAGTCCAGTGTTGGGTTAAGAAAAATTCCAAGAACTCCAAACATTTCATGAAGTTCCCTTAAACTCTTTAAAGGGAATGAAGGTTGATGCCACAACAGCAAACCTGCCAAGAGCGGGTCGTTCACCAAAACTCACAAAGAGGACCTCAATCAGAGACACATCCAGGAGGACCCTGGGAGATGGAGATCTGTCTGTAGGACCACTGGAAGCTGCACTCATTAGATAATATGCTAATGTAGATCCTAACCCCTACAGTGAAGCATGGTGATTGCATCAACATGTTCTGGAGATGTTTGACACCAGCTGGGTCACTGGTCAGTGTCAAGATGGAAGACTGAGTCTTTCAGAAAACTGGGACTGAAAAAGAAGTCCAGGTATACCTTTAAATTAATTCTCCATGAGTTGAGACCAGATAAAGTCTCTGAAATGGTCCAGCCAAAATGAAAGTACCACGTTTCATCACCAGTGTCTAAAACCACGATTCTACATCTGACCCATGTGATGAATCCAGTGGAGCAGCGGGAAGATATGGAAGCACTCACAGAGAAGGTAGGGAACAGGTGTCTTGTTCAAGAACACCACAACACGTGTGCCTGGCGAAGAATCAAACGTGATTTTCTGGTTCCAAGTTGGCTGCCTTACTACTGTTACTAGAGATGCATCAATCCACTTTTTTCTTTTTTTTTTACAAAGTAACTTCCGATCCGATCCAATACCTAAATCTAAATATCGTCTGATACCAATACCATTCCGATATCATCGTCATCATTATTGATTTTATATGAGGCTGTAATAATCTCCTATCAAGTACAATTTGTACAAATATATGCACACATGTCCAAAAAGGCAACTTGAGGTAAGTTTTATTAATGTTGGATAAGTTTTAAAGTTAGAATTAAATTCTGCTAACACAAAACATGTTTCTTTTTATTCCTAGTTTTAAAGTGGATATTAAAGTGATTAATTTAAGTGATTGTTTAAAGTTATTTTATATTTTTTAAATAAGGGACAGATAAAAGAATTTTCTTCTTTCTGGACTCTTTTCATTCAATGTTTTTTTTATTAATGTTTTGTTTCTTTTAAATGAATGAATAAATGAATTAAATAAAAATAAAATGTTAAATGGCTTTAAATATCTGCTAAGTTCGTAGCATAAACAAACAGACATGTTCCTGTTTTTAATATTTTAGGGTTAGTTTCGTTTATATATATATATATATATATATATATATATATATATATATATATATATATATA